CCCCAAAACCCCAAAACCCCAAAACCCCAAAACCCCAAAACCCCAAAACCCCTATTTCAACTAAAATATAAAAATGGAGTCATTGTCAGATGAAAGATTTACTAATAAGAAGAAGATAGGTTCAGGAACATATGGAGTCGTCTATTCAGCATATGACAACGTCCTCGAGAAAGAAGTCGCCATCAAGGATATCAAACTAGAGGGTGAGGAAGAAGGTATCCCTAGCACTGCACTTCGAGAGCTCTCTCTTCTTCAAGATCTTGACCACAAAAATATTGTTAAGCTTGAAGATATTATCTGTGAAGAGAGTAAAATTCATTTGGTCTTTGAACTATGAAAATATGACCTTAAGTATTTGATCTATGACTACAAAAAGCCCATCCCTCCAGTGAAAATCAAGAGGTTCATGAAAGAATTACTTGAAAGTATTGAGTATTGCCATGCGAATGGCATTTTTCATCGAGATTTGAAACCAAACAACATCCTAATTGATCACAATGATGAACTTAAAGTAGCTGATTTTGGTCTAGCTAGGGCTTTTAGTCTTCCAATGAAAGATTATACCCATGAAGTAGTCACTCTATGGTACAGAGCTCCTGAAATCCTTCTTGGTGATAACAATTACTCTGTTCCTATCGATATATGGGCTTGTGGAGTGATCTTTTATGAACTAGCTCATGAAAAACCTTTCTTCTATGAGCAGTCAGAGATAGGAGTTCTCTTCAAAATCTTCCAGCTCCACGGAACTCCCACTGACGAAACCTGGGAAGGGGTTGAAAAGTTCAGATTTTACAGTAAAAAGTTCCCAAAATGGAAAGGCAAGGAACTTTCTCTAGAAAGCTGACGTAATTTCGACGAGGAAGCACTTGACTTATTTTCAAAGATGATAGCTCTCAATCCCATCAATAGAATCTCCGCTACTGAAGCACTGAGACATCCTTACTTTACTGATGTATAATTATGAATAATTCTGATGCATTTTACTTAATAATTTGCTTAAAATCTTCATTTTCAGAAATGTAAATTGGGGTTTTGGGGTTTTGGGGTTTTGGGGTTTTGGGGTTTTGGGG